TGGCCATGCCGTGATCCCCTTCCTCGGCTCCTCCGACCCGTCAATTTGTGGGCACAGCACGCACGTCCGATTGTTTCGGGCTGACCGAGCTGGGGATTTGAACCACGGTCACCATGTGGGACCCTTCTTCTCCTGATGAACACATTATCACCATGCCGACAGAGCTAGCCCTGTTAGCGCAACTCTCTACTCACGTTTTTATTATAAAAAATTATTCAAGCTTATTATAAAACGAGAAGAAAAATACGACCAGCAAAATAGCCCATCTGCTCTGAGCTGCCCACTATAAATACGTTGTTGTAAATCTTCCATTTAAAAAGTTCATGAGGGGACCAACAGTTAGCATAATGGCTGTGTCGCTGGACTCCCATGTAGTCGACTGCAGTTTGAGTCCCAGATCCGGTGGCTTAAACTCACGCCAGGCGCGTGTGCGTGCCCAAGATCCCAAGAGGGGAATGGAGGAGAACAGATTGAGGCGTGGCCATCCCCCCGAGGGTGATCTCTCGCTTTCTGTCTCTCTGTCTCTCCCTGGCGAGCGCATGCGCCCTATAGCACAAACCTTTCCCAAAAAAAAGAAAAAAACAAAAAGAAATAAAAAGTTCATGGAAGAGACCAGCAGATAGCATAATGGTTATGTTGCTAGACTCCCATGTAGTCGACTGCAGTTCACGTCCTGGACCAGGCAGCTTCAAATTGATGCCAGGCACATGTGCATGTATTCCCAAAATCCCAAGAGGAGAATGGAGAAGGGATTGCGATGTGGCCTTACCACCCCCTGGAGGGTGATTTCTTACGTTCTGTTCTGTCTTTCTGTCTTTCTGGAGAGCGCATGCGCCCTATAGCAAAAACCTCTCCAGAAAAAAAAAAAGAAAGAAAGAAAAAGGGAAAGTGAGAGAGCAAGCCACCAGGTCCAGGACTCGAACTTCGGTGGGCCACGCGGGCACCTTAACCACGCCACCTGCTGGCTGTCCACAAACTTCTTTTAAAAAAGCATTATTTTATATAACTGTACTTATTTATTTATTTAAATGTGACCACAGAGGGACAGAGAGAAAAAGAGAGAGAGGGAAAGTGAGAGAGCAAGCCACTAGGTCTGGGACTCGAACCACAGTTGGCCATGTGGGAGTCCAGTGCCCCTAAACACCATGCCACCTGCTGACCCCTGTCCACAAACTTTTTGAAGTTCTTTTGTATATAAGAATTATATACATTCAGGGCCAGAAGGTGACATAGAAGTTTGGTGCTGGATCCCACATGGCCAACTTCATAGTTTGAGTCTTGAACCTGGTGGCTTGAAAATCATACCAGGCACGTGTGTGTGCATGCCCCAAATCCTGAGACTGGAGGAGAAGGGATTGCACCATAGCCATCCCTCAATCCCCCAGGGGATGATTTCTAACCCCCCTCCCCCTGTGAACATATGTGCCCTAGAGCAAAACCTAAAATAAAAAAATAAAAATAAAATCTAAGCGGAAGCATGCCAGCGAGGCTCTGTGATGAGAGACATGTGTGGATTTTCCTCCTGACCTTCATAGCAATCATGCTTATATTGTATGGTAACCCTCCATTCCCAGATGAGAAGACCGAGGTGCAGAAGAGGCGGGGTAACTCGCCCAGGGTCATGTGACTGGGGCGGGGGCGCGAGGACTCACGCCCAGCCCAGCTCTTTTGCACAGTCTGCTTTTCCCACAGACGTCATGATGGACGGTGACTGCAGAAGCCCTGGCCCTGCTGGGCTTCCACGCCACAGGAAGGAGATAAAAGGGTGTGAGTCAGGGACACACTCCCTGGAGAAGGCTGGGAGGAAGCAGGGTTTAGAACTGCATGGGACAAAGGTAAAGAACAACACGAAAGGGACCTGGGGTGGTAAGTCAAAGAACGAATGAAAGGAGGCCGGAAGTTCCCAGGAAGTAGGAGTCTGGGAGCCGGAGAGCGAGAGCAGGCCGAAGGCTGCCCTGTGACCTTAGGCACAACTCCAGACCCGGTCCACTTCTCATGACGGGAGTCTCCACAACGGGTAGGCCTGGGACTTTGAATATGTGAAGTTCTTCCTTTTTCCTTCCTTCTTTCTTCTATTTAAGCAAATTTTGCCAGAGGGCAGGCCAGCAGGTAGCGTGGTGGTGAAGGTGCTGGATTCCCTGAAAGGGGATTGCAGCATGGCCTCTCCCTAGAGGGTGATTTCTCATTTTCCCTCTCTCTGTGTGTGTGTGTGTGTGTGTCTGGCAAACACATGCCCCCTATGGCATAAACCTTCCAAAAAAATTGCCAGAAGGCTCATGCACCCACCAGAGAGACAGAGGGGGAGAAGGAGAAAGCACCCCTGGGGATGGTCATGCCGCAATCCCTTCTCTTCCATTTTTATCCAACCTGTCAGGATTTGGGACACATATGCCCTGGCGGGGTTTTCAGGCCCCCAGTGTATGGAGTTTCAAGTGCGACAAAGCTTTGAGTAGCACCGCCTGGAGTGCCCTCCCCCTCCCTGGGGATTTCCTCCTCTCAGTTTGAAGCCCTGGGAACCCTCCCATCTACACCCCAACCCCGAGCCCCCAGCCCCTCTGGCGACGGCACTCACTGGAAGTCGCTGTAGATGTCCACCCAGCCGTCCTGGGTGATGCAGATGAAGAGGGTGTACAGGGCAACCTGCATGTTCCGGAAGTGCTTGGGCACGAAGGAGCCGAACAGTGTGACCCCAAACACCGAGAACACCTGCCAGAGACAGAGCCCCGCCCTGGCTGACCCGGGCCTGGCAGAGCCACAGCTATTCAGGCCCTAGGACTCTCCTCTCCCCCAGACACGCTTTTGTCCCCACGACCCAGGGCCCGTTCAGGGACAGGGGCCGGTGGGCGTGGGGGGCACTGACCAGCATGAAGAAGAGGATGAGGGCCATGATGTTGGCCAAGTCAGGCACCGACTGCAGGATGACGCGGATGATCCGGGCCAAGGGCTCCACCGCCACGCACACGTGCACCAGACGAAGCGCCCTGTGGCACAGCCTCTCAGGGGCGCCCTCGGCCCTCCCACCCCGCCCCTCACTGCCCCTACAAGCTGCTCAGAGGTAGCTTGCCATGCCCTCCCGGCTTCCCTCCCAAGCTCCCAGCTCACCTGAGCGTGTATGTGATAGACACAGTGTTGAGCTCATTAACGAAGAGCCCCAGCAGCAAGGTGAAGATGATAAAGAAGTTGAGGATGTTCCAGCCGTCCTGGGGGGGCCAGCCCCAGGGGTCTGTCAAGCCCAGCCCACAGGGACATCTGAGTCTGGCCTCCCCACACCCCAAGGACAAGGAAGTCTGTGCTCTCAGAGCAGGGCCACAAACACAGGCGTGCACTGGCCCATACACGGGGCTGAGTGCAGTCTCAGCCGGGTCCCATACAAGAGAGGGGGAACGGGCAAATTTTGCAAGCCCTTTGTTCAAATAAGGCATGTATAAGGAATGGCGAGCAGGGCGAGGGGATGGAGAAGGCCCCGTGTTTGAAAAATTTGACCGGAGCCGGTGGCCGGGTGGTTAAGGTGCTGGACTCCCACATGGCTGACCACAGTTCGAATCCTGGACCTGCTGACTTGCTTTCTCACTTTCTCTCTCTCTCTTTCTCTCTCTCTCTGTGGTCAAATTTAAAAAAAATAATATTAATAAATACAATTAAATAAATAATTATGACCATAAAAACAAAAGAAAAAGAAAAATTTGACCAAGAATCCTCACTTAACCTGACCCACAGACACTCTGGCCCAGATAGAAAATGTCCTGTATGTAAGGTTGAAGAAAGAGAAAGAGAGAAAGAAGACAGGAAAAGAAAGAAAAAGGAAAGTGAGAAAGATCTCCGCATACTGATACAGAAGGATCGCCAGGACCCGGTTAGTGACGGGGCAAAGGCAGAACAGTGCCGATAGTACATCACTGCACTTTCAGGAGAGGCAGGGCCAAAACTAGGCGAGCTGGGAGGGAAAACGAGGTTATAGGATAGGAAGAGATTGGAGCAGCAGGTGGCATGGAGCTGTACCCTGCACGGTTGATTCTGCAGTCCGAGTCCCGGATCCAGTAGCTTGAAAATCATATGGGCGCTTGTGTGTGTGTGCGCGTGCGCGTGTGCTCAAAATCCCGAGAGAAAGGATGGAGGCATGGCCACCCCCTCAAGAGGTAATTTCTCACTTTCTCTGTGTGTCTCTTTCTTTCTTTCTTCCTTCCTTCCTTCCTTCCTTCCTTCCTTCCTTCTTTCTTTCTTTCTTTCATTTTTTGAGAGGTTTTCGCTATAGGGCACGTGCGCTCGCCAGCCAGACAGAGAGAGACAGAAAGCGAGAAATCACCCCCCGGGGGATGGTCACGCCGCAATCCCTTCTCCTCCATTCTCCTCTCGGGATCTTGGGCACGCACGCACACGCGCCTGGCTTTTTTTTTTCCGGGACCGCAACCACGGTCGACTGCATGGGAGTCCAGCGACATAGCCATTACACTAACTGCTGGTCCTTCTGTGTGTCTCTTTCTGGGGAGTGCATATGCTCTATAGCAAAAACATTAAAAAAAATAAAAAAGGATTACTTAGAGTGTGTGAGGGTGGGTGAAGGGGGGTGAGGGGACAGAAATAAAAGCAAGAATTCAATGTGTACCTTTCGCTATAGTTTTAACCAATATGTATCTGCATTAAATATTCAAAAAGAGGACCAGTAGGTGGCGTGGTTGAGGCGCTGGAATTTCCACGTGGCTGACTGCAGTTCAAGTCCTGGACTTCGTGGCTTGCTTTCTCACTCTTTCTATTTTTCTCTCTGTCTTTCTTTCAAAACTCATGTTTTTCCAAATAAATAATAATAAAAAATTAAAAATAAAATAAATATTTAAAAAAATATTCGAGGGACCAGCAGATGATGTAATGGCTGTCGCTGGACTCCCTTGTAGTCGACTGTGGTTCGAGTCCCGGACCCGGTGGCTTAAACTCACGCTGGGCGCGTGTGCATGCATGTCCAAGATCCCAAGAGGAGAATGGAGGAGAAGGGATTGCGGTATGGCCATCCTTCTGGGGGGTGATTTCTCACTTTCCGTCTCTCTGTCTCTGTCTTTCCGGAGAGCACACGTGCTCTATAGCAAAAAACACTCAAGGAAAAAATAAAAGGGACCAGCAGTTGGCGTAATGGCTATGTCGCTGGACTCCCCTTTAGTCGACTGTGGTTCGAGTCCCGGACCCGGTGGCTTAAACTCACGCTGGGCGCGTGTGCATGCATGTCCAAGATCCCAAGAGGAGAATGGAGGAGAAGGGATTGCGGTGTGGCCATCCCCCCTGGGGGGTGATTTCTTGCTTTCTCTCTCTTTCTCTCTCTCTATCTGTCTGTCTTTCTGGCAAGCGCATGTGCCCTATAGCAAAACCCTCTCAAAAAAAAAATTTTTTTTTTTAAAAGAAAACCTTTTCTTTCTTTTAAGAGAAAAATTTTTGCTCCTGGGAAAGTGTGCTCACCAAAGAGACAGACAGAGAGACAGAAAGCAAGAAGTCACCCCTTACAGGGATGGCCACGCCACAATCCCTTCTCCCCCATTCTCCTCTTGGAATTTTAGGCACACACACATGTGCTCAGTGTGTTTTAAGCCCCTGGGTCTGGGACTCACACTATGGTCAACTACGTGGGAGTCAGCGATGTAACAATTTCGCCATCTGCTGGTACCAAGAAAACCTTTTTAATGGAAAAAACAGTTGTTAAATGTGTAGAGCAGCCTAATAAACACGAGTCCTCCTGGCCAAGCTCACAGAGTCTGCACACACACACACACGGGGAAAACAAGTTTGCCGTCTACAGATCCCCCTCTGCGTCTGTTAGTATTAAGCTCCTGTAGTACACCGTACTCCAACTGGCTCCTGAGGATATAAGAGTTTTGCCCCGTGAGGCTCATAGACCGCTTAGAGTGGTAGATGGCCAATACGTTTTAACTCTAGGTTGGAGAGACAGCTATGTTGTATCACCGCGTTACAGAGCAGCTTCAAGCTAGCTTGGGAGAGACAGGAAAACTTCCTGGGAGAAAAGAGAGCTGACCCAATCTGGAAGGAGTAACGCCAATCAACAGGGAAAACCAGAAGAATAGTCTGTGATGTGCTGGGGCCACTAGGTGGCATGGAGTTAAGGCTCTGGACTCCGACATGGGCAACCACAGTTCAAGTCCCAGACCCAGCAGCTTGAAAAGCATGCCTGGCACGTGTGTGTGCGTGCCCAAGATCCTGAGAGGAGAATGGAGGAGAAGGGACTGTGGCATGGCCATCTCCTGGTGGTGATTTCTCACTTTCCCTCTTTCTTTCTTTACCTCTGATGGGTGCACATGCCCTATGGGGGAAGGAATTGTGATGTGACAATTCCATGAAATTCAAGTTTCAGTAACCAGAAATAAAGATAGATTGGAGGGGTCCAGCAGATGGCATGGTGGTTACATTGCTAGACTCCCACATGGCTGGCCATGGTTCAAATCTCAGACCTGGCGGCTTAAAAATCATGCCTGGTGCATGCGTGTGCATGCCCAAGATCCCAGGAGGAGAATAGAGAAGGGATTGCAGCATGCCCATCCCCCTTGGGGGGTGATCTTTTACTTTCTCACTTGCTGTCTCTGTCTCTCTCCAGGGAGCACACACATCCTCAGGCAAAAAACTCTTAAAAAATGTACTGGGGACCAGCATATGGTGTAATGGTTACATCACTGGACTCCACAGAGTCAACTGTGCATAAAATCCCGGACCTGGTGACTTAAAAACACGCAGATGGGACCAGCAGTTGGCATAATGGCTGTCTCTGGACTCCATGTAGCCAACCGCAGTTCGAGTCCCAGACTCTGGTGGCTTAAACTCACGCCGGGCGCGTGTGCGTGCATGCCCAAGAACCCGAGAGGAGAATGGAGGAGAAGGGATTGTGGCGTGGCCATCTCCCCTGGGGGGTGATTTCTCGCTTTCTATCTCTCTGTCTCTCTCTATCTTTCTGGTGGGTGATTTCTTCTATCTCTCTGTCTCTCTCTATCTTTCTGGTGAGTGCACGTGCCCTATAGCAAAAACCTCTAAAAAGAAAAAAGAAAAGAAAAGAAAAAGAGAACACACACACAAAAAAACCAACGTGCTGGGCATAGCCCCGCCCATTCACTTACTTCTGCCTTTGGCTGCTCTTGTGCTGCCGCAGCAAAAGTAAGTCATTGGGACAGAGACTCCAGCCGCACAGCTTGTGCCCAGCTGCAGTGGTGCAGGCAGCAGGGGGCTGCTGTGTGATACTGGAGCCATGGGCGAGGCCCCAGGTGCAGATCCCAGGTGGACCTGAACACTTAGGATGTACCTGTAATCCTGACTGGCTGGAAACTTGGGGATAGAGGCACGGTGAGACCCTGTCACGGGTCTCTGTCTCTCATGAAGAAATGAACTTTAAAAAGATTTATTTTGGGGAGAAGCCGGGCTTTCAGCAGAAGGTTCCACACGGCGCCAGCGAACTAGTCTTTTCAGGGAATGAAGATTTTGTACTGATAATACAGCCTCCAACAAATGAGCTAACGTGATCACAACAGAACGGCAAAGAGATTCTAGATCACCTCTGCTTGCTCCTGAACATTTAAAGAGAAAGTAGAAAGAAGTTGACGAGTTCCAGGAGATGAGGAAATTCTTCCAAGATCTAAAAGAGGAATTACACACTTTACAAAAGACTCAAATGGAACTGCTAGAGATGAAGTCTATAATACAGGAAGTCAAAATCTCCCTTGAAAGTATTAAAAGCAGACTAGATCATTCAGAAAATATAATCTCAGAAGAAGTAGAAGAAAAAATGGCTGGCCTAGAAAAATCCACCACGAAGACTGAGAAAATGACCCAAAAATTTGAGAATGATATGCGAGAAGTACTGGATACCATCAAACGTCCAAATATCCGGATAATTGGCATTCCGGAAGGTGAAGAGTTCCAGAAGGGCATTGATAATCTATTCCATGAAATCCTGCAAGAAAACTTTCCAAACCTAGAGAGGCATTCGAAGATCCAGTCCCAGGAAATACAAAGGACCCCAAATAGAATCAACCCAAGAAGATCTTCTCCAAGACACATTATAGCCAGGTTGACCAAAACCGCAGACAAAGACAAGATACTAAGATTGGCAAGAGAAAAACATCAAGTTACCTACAAAGGACATCCCATCAAGCTAACAGCAGATCTCTCATCGGAAACAAT